CGGGCAGCTGGCTTCAGCCACAGAAACCTACAAGAGCCATCTCCACGCTCGTGAAATGAGGTGTGTGTGTGTGTGTATGTGTGTACGGACAACTCAGGTCTATCTCTCCACTGGGGGCCTTTGGAAGGAGGTGGGGGCCGAGACCTCAGATCTTTCCTGTCCACTGGGAGGGTCTTTGAGGCAGGTGGATGGGGAGACTCCAGGTCTCATCTCTCCTTGGGGGGCATGGCAGGTCTTTGGAGGAGGTGGTGGTGGTAGACCTCAGGTCTTGTTGGGGAAGGTGGGCCTGGGGTAGAACCCACAGCTGGGGTGCCCCGGGTCCCCTGATGAAGGAGCCGACTCAGGAGACAGGTGGGCTTGTCCTCATCCCCAGAGGTCCCCGGAGCCCCTGGCAGTGATGTGAGCGTAGGCCTGGTGACAGGCTGCCAAGGAGCGGGGACATCATTTCCTAGCTGACATTCTGCTTCCTGCCCCGGAACCTCCCAGGAAACCTGCAGCACCTACCTGGCCCGCAGAGGGTCCCTGCCCCTCATGTCGCCCGTCTCCTTGGGGCACCTCGTTTAGCGCCCGCTAAGTGACAAGCCCAGAGGTGCCGGTGGGAAGGGGCACCGGTAATGAACTCCCATTGGCTTCTCTCACAAGATCACTGCCTTAATTTACGAGGCCTGAGCGAGTCTCATTCCCCCAGTGTGCTGTGAGTAATTAACTATTAATAAAAGCATTACCGCGTTAACCACGGGGGCATGTTTAATTCATGGGGGCAGCCCGGGAGCGGGACAGGGAGGCTGGGGCACAGTGGGGGGATTCCTCCCAGAGCACAGAGCGCCAGCAGGATGCTGCCTCTGCAGGCATCTCAGGCCACCCCACCAGGGTCCCCAACCAGAGGCTTAATCCTAGGAGGGTAGGGAGACCAGCTGGCAGCCCTAGAGCTGCAGGGTGGAGGAGAAGCGAGGGCAGGGGCAGGGCTGCGCGAGCTTGGCTGCGCGGCTAATGAGCGAGTCACTACCTCCCTTCTCTTTTTACAACACCCACCTGGAGGGGTCCCAGGGACAGGAGGTGACATGGCAAATAGCCCGCTGCTCCCCCTTGGTTATGGGAGCATTGCTAGGATTCCCTTCCCAACCCAGGGACACACACACACTGGTTGGGTGTGGGTATGGGTGCAGGAGCAGGAATATGGCTACCTGCTCACAAGCAACATGGTGGACTAATTCCTATCACGATGCCTTCAGGAGGCCTGGGGGCGCTTCAAGTGCGTCCTTGGTCCATGGTGCCCCTCCCTCTTTCCCCATGCGGACCTCTGGCCAGCCACCGTGAACGAATATTACACAGCGCTCACCCGCCCCTCCTCCGTGCCTCCCCACGTGCGCAGTGCTCATTGCTGGCCTGGTGTCCTTCTCCATTTGTCTGCTTGGGAAACGGACCCAGCCTTCAAAATGCACCTCGCGAGGGTCAGCTTCCCGTGCAAGTCTGCTGTCCCACTGAGCCAGGTAAACTGAGACCCTTTTCTGTCTCCCGTTCATTCTTCTATTTTGGCATCTATCCATCCACCCATGCACGCACCCACCCATTTATCCATCCACTCATGCACCTATGCACCCCCTCATCTATCCATCTACCTACTCATCTGCTCATGTACCCACCCACCCACCTATCCACTCATGCACCTGCTCACCTACCCATCTATCCACCTACCAATCCACTCGTTGATCCATGCATCCTCATTCATCCCCCCCACTCATCTACCTATCCACCCACTCCATCCATCCACTTACCTATCCACCCACCCACTCATGCAGCCCTCTGTCCACCCACCCATCCCTATTTACTGAACACCTACCATGTGCCTATCTGATGTCATTTTGAAGTTCTGCACAAGGGCAGCCTTTCCCTAGACTTGTGGCTCTTAGTCTTTTGGGTTCAAGGACACCATCCTCTAGAAAAATGCGTACTTGCCCTTGGATGCCAGAGGTTGCTCTCCTCCTCAGGGACCACCATCATCCCTGAACCTGGCCCCTCGGTGTGGTGGGGCTGGTGACGCCCCAGCTCAGATTTCCCTTGAGAATGACGATGGAATCCCAGCTCTTGGAGAGCTCTCAGCTGCCAGCCCTCTTTGAAATGGTCTCTTCGTAGAGAACAGCCACGCCCAGACACCTGCCACTTTATGCCCCATGGTTCCTGAGGAATGTGGAGGGCCCGCACCCTCACCTTGGACAAGGCTTAAGGGCCATGGTGATGAGCGCTCAGCTTCGGCCCCTGCTGCATTCTGCTTCCCCGCTCCAGTGCCCGGTTTCCCCAAGAGCACTTTCTCATGAGCATCCTGCATGCTAATCTCCCTGAGGGGGCCTACTGGGGTGGGGGTTTAAAGTCCTGCTCCGGGCCTTTGAGAGCAGGCAGTGTGGGATCACTTCGCATCACCAGCCACCAGCATCGGGCCTGGTGTGGCGTAAAGGGGTAGTTTCACACCTTTCTTCCGCTTCTCCGTCTCTGCTGCCCCAGGCAGAGTTCTCATCAGAAAACCAGGGAAGCGGGTCAGCCGGCAGCAGGGGATGAGTCCAAGGGGCCGACTCCTCAGTAGTTAAGAGGGGTTTACTGAGTCTCCACTGTGCCAGACGCAAGTGACCTCAAAAGCCTGAGGTCCTGGTGTCAGCGGCTCTCTTGCCTAATTACCTGGGCAAGTTCTGTTTACATGTAAAACTCAGGCCAACCTGTCACTGCATAGAACTGCCTATCAGCTTCCCAAACCAATCACCCACGTGGACGTAGACGGTCACCTGTTCCTCCCACGGAGTGGCTGGTGGATTCAAACTGCCAACCTCCCGGTCAGCAGCTGAGCTCGATGCCGCTCGACCAGGACTCCTTTGCCAATCAGGGCACACCCGGCAGTGTGCTCAGTGCTTTGCACACACGACTGTGGCTCATCCTCACACTTTTACTGGGAGAGCTGCATTAGTATTCCTTCTGTGGAGACCGGGAACGGGGCTCAGAGGGTTCTGGCAATGTGCCCGAGATATTATGGGGCACCCAGAAGATGCCAGTCCATGCCCCGTGGAGCCTAGTGTCCGAGCAACTGACTTGCTGAACCTCAAGGACTAGTGGCTGCATGTCGCTCCAGCCCGCTCCCCCTCCCCGCCCGGGCTGGCAGAGGGCTGCATTCACCACTTCTCCAAGGACGAACATCTGTCCCCAAGCCTGGCACAGCTCTTGTCCTGTCCACCCTAAGAGATGGTCTGCAAAGGCAGCCTGTCCTATACCCCCACCCCGTGCCCCCTTGCAAAGTGGAGCCAGCTCCTCCCACCATTCGTCTCCCGGGCAGACAGCTCTGAAGTGCCCGAGAAGTGACACCTCTTGGTGCTTTGCAGCTCCCCTCTCAAGATGTTGGGCCTCTTGGATTAGTATCCACAGAGCGAAGGACAGGCTGATAGGGGACCCCGAGCCTTCAGGCAGAGAAGAGGACGCAATGAAAAGGAAGGTGTTCCATGTCCTGCCTGACACCCCAGATCTGCCGCAGTCACTGCCAGGGGAAATCCCACCCCCCGGAAATTGCGAGCATCCACTTTCCTCCCCCTCCAGGCCCCTTGGGAGAGAGTGGGCACTGAAGGCTGGAACCTGCAGCCCAATGCCTGGCCCCGGGGCTGGAGGCAGCTGGGGACTGAGGATGCACACAGCCTAGGAGATAAGTCACATCCTCAGCTCCTTCAACCTGTGCAGGCACCACGTTGCCATGGCAACGCTGCAGGCCTGGGATGCACTGGCTCCAGACAGTATGGGGGGTTCTGAGTCTCAAAGCCTAGGGTGGACTGCCTGGCCCCGGGGCCGGTGATTGGGTGGGCTGGGTGGGCGAGGAGAAGCAGCCCTCCTCTAGGCTGGCTGCAATTGCCACTAAGTGAAGGGCTGTCACCAAACCCAACATGTGAGCCCAAGGGCCTGCTCTGCCCCTGTAATTACTGCACCAGACAGCACTGCGGTGCCCCGCCACCAGCAGACAGCAAGTGCCTCTGGCTGGCAATTCTCTGGGCAGAGGTGAGGAAGCAGGGCCCCTTGCAAGCCCTCCCCACTGCCAGCCAGCAGGACCCAGAACTGAGAGAGGTCTCCAGGGGCAGAGGTAGGGGGGCCAGCCAGGGCACCACCTCCCAGGTCTGCGGTCTCCCATGCAAGCCATGGTCTTGACCTCCTGATCTCCGAGGCTCTGGGGGCCTGAGGCTTGTCCCAACTGCCCCTGAGCCCGTCTCCCCGAATGTAAACTCCAGAGAGCACTCAGATCTTAGAGGACTCTGCTACATCAGGGTTGACCACACCAGAGCCTGGTGGCAGCTGGGGGCTGCTTTCATGCACCACGGCAGTTGGAGAAGCCGAGACGCCTCCTGGCCCCCAACAGAAAACACTCCCCAGCCAGACCTGTACACAGCCAAGAGCTCGAAAGGCCCCGTGGTCCCCCGGCTTGCCCATTACGAGAGTCGCGTACCAGGCGCCCCCCCCAGTGTCCCTCCCTGCCCCCTTGCCTATGGACGCCCTCTCTTCTGGGTCCAGTGAGCCCTGGGCTCCTGGGCAGCAGTGTGGTGCAATGGCGCCACCTGCTGTGTGTGCCCAAAGCCACTCTTGCCCGTGGGCCATCCGGTCCCAGGTGGACCCGTGTGCAGAAAGGGGGAGAGCAGGGACTTGTGTGCGGAGGACAAGCGGAGGGAGGGCCCACTCGCTCCTCTGGGAGGCAGTGGGCTCGGGGGACTGTGGAGGGTGGAGCAGAGAACGGGCTCGGCACCCAGCCCCACCGCCTTTACGGAAGCCTTCAGCTCTCCAACGATTCCGTGAGGAGAATTTTAAAACTAAACACAGAGCATTTCACCTGTTTCCTGTGTCGGCCCCTTTGCTCTCTGAAAGGACAGGGACACTGTGGCGCAGAGGGGTCAGGCATCTTGGGCAGTCACAGCTCATGAGCGAGCGCGGGGGGGCGGGGGGGGGGGCGGGATTCCAAAGCGGGCACTGAGCGCAGGCAACAGGGGTGCTTAGTGGACAGTTTTATTCCCGTCTGCAAAGTGAGCCTGCTGGGCTCAGGAGGAGCCCCACACCAAAGCCAGCCCACCGCCTGCCAGCTGACGGTGATTCACAGCAGTCAGTGTGGGCTCCAGCATTATAGGAGCAGCCGGCCTCCCCTTCCTCCCTCAGAGCAGCTGGTGGGCTCAAACTGCTGACTGTGCGGTTAGCAGACCAGCGTTCACCTGCCACCTGGGCCGGGATTATGAGCGGTGGCTTCCATGTGCCCTCCCTGCCCCCACGCCTCCAGGCCAAGGGAGCGCAGGTTCTGGGCAGCTGGGGTGGCCGGTGGAGCGTAAAGCACTTATTTCCCAACTATAAATTAGTCTGCTCTTGGAGCACGGCCACTCTCCAGGTGGGGAGGTGCCGCCGCCGCTGCCTGCCCAACCACACCAGCCCGCTGTGGAGTCCGAGTCCCGTGAGGCCTCTGGAAGGAAGCCTTGGCACCCAGTGCCCGGGGCAGGCTGCGGAGCTCCGTTCAGACCAGGTTGTGGGCCGTACCAGCTCTGCTGGGAAGGTGGGAGCCCGGGGCTCTGACCTAGTTTCCCCATGTCCCTGAGGTCCAGTCGGGCGCCTTCCTGGTCCCGTTCCCTGGATGGGCCCCCGGGCTGGTCACTGCTGCCCTTGGGCCACGAAGTACTCTTCCTCCTCGTTGTCCTCCTCATCTTGCTGGCCGCTCCGGAGCAGCAGCTCCAGGTCGGGGCTGGAGCCTGCCCCCTTCAAGGGCTTTGGGGCACTGCCACCTAGGGGGGAAGAGGTGGGTCACACAGCCGCCTGCTCCCCGCAGGCTGCCTGAGTCACACGTGCTGCGCTGGTCTCCAGCCACTCTCTGGACCACCAGCAGGCCGGAGAGAGGGAGGCAGTGCCCCCGGACATGCTCCTGAGCCAAAGGGATAGCCATGCCTTCCCAGAGTGACTGCTTAGTGCCACCAGGTCCCACTCTCTGGGGCAGCCGAGAGCTGCAGGGCCAGCTCTTCCTGGCAGGCAAGGGCAAGGGCAGGTACCTTTGGGGTGTAAGGCTTTGAGAGCGACGTGCAGGGAGATCCCGGAGAGGCATAGGGCGAAGCCTAGCCAGTTCAGGAGGCTGATCTGGTCGCCTAGCAGGTGTGCCGCCAACAGCAGGGTGCAGACTTCCTGGGGTGGAGAAGTGGGGGAGCGTCACAGGAGCTGGGTCTGGTGCAGGGGCCAAGACACCACCTGGCCAGGACCGAGAGGGGCCGGCTGGCCTCCAGGCAAAGGCAGGTCCGTGAGCTTGGAGGGCCTGGCCTGCCTAGAAGGTCCCTCTGTCGGTTCACCTCTGTGCTACTGAGATGCAGCAGAGATGTAGCTTCCAGAGAACCATCTAGAACAGAGGAGGCGAACCAGAGCCAAGGCCGGGAGAAGGGCTTGTGCCCAGAGCTATCCCCAGGGGATGCAGGGCCCATACGGGCCACGGGCCCTGCACACAGTGCCTGCTCCAGGGGCCAGTGAGAGGTCATTCTGAGACCCTGGGGACCTCGTTCCTGGTTTGAGTCGGCCTAGTCCCAGAGCACCCCCTCCTCCCCGCAGGGCACTGGGCAGGGAGGGTGAAGAGTGGAGGGCCGGAGAGCAGAACCGTGAGCCAGACGGGCAAAGACATGGCACTTAGACTCGTGATACCACTCTCCAGACTGTGTCCACGGCAGACAGGACCACACAGTCCCCGAACTTTTGAGTAACGAGTCTGGATGGGGCTTCTCCTCCCACGGCTGTGAGCCACTGCTCCGTGGAACCAGGCAAGGGCACCCCAAACCTGGTGCAATCAGACCTGGCCTTGAGCCACCCAGCCACTCGAGCTGCTTATCCCGAGGGGGCTCCCCTCCAGGACTGAGGAGGGGCGGCCTCTAGGTCTGTACCTTAAAGATGCCCGCAATGGAGAGCGTGAGGCTGGAGGTCCTGGCCACCAGGAGGAACTCGGAGAAGCCCAGGCCGAAAGCGAGAACGCCGCCCAGGAAGAGGCTCCCGAGCACTCGCAGGAGCAAGCCCGGGTCCTGGAAACGGAAGAGTTTCTCAGAGGTGGACAAATGCAGACCTGGGGAAAGAGGGTGGAGGCCAAGTCCGGGCGTGCCTGCCTGGGGCGTGTGGCCCACCAACACAGCGGCCCCTCCTGAGCAGGCCCGGACCAACTGTGCGAAGGGGGCACAGCCCCACGGGGCACAAGGCAGCCTGCTGTGGGTGGGGCATGGTGACTTCATGTGGCCTTCCCCGGGGTGACAACCAGTGGGCTGGAGACACTCGGGGTGGCCACTCAGGAGCCTGCGTGGCTACAATCCCACCAGGTTACCTACAGACCAGATCAAAAACCCCCTGCCCTCCTGTGAGGCTTGAATCCAGCGGGGACCTGAGCTGAGGCCTTTCCTTTATTGGACCTCAGTGTCCCCACTGAGGACGTGAGAAAACTGCGCTGACCCGTGTCCCCAGATGAAGTGGGTGGAATCTGACGGCTATGTCTCAACAAAGGCAGGCCCACCACCCACAGGCCTGCGAGCAGAGTGCTGGCCCTTGCTGCGGAAATGCCCATGCCCGTGGGGTTTGGTCTGTACTTTCAGGACACTGCCCACCAGGGAGCGACGGGTCCCTTGGCAGGCACAGGACTGAGGGTGAGCCCCAGCCCGGGTAGACGAAGGCTTGGGCTGGCCGAGGCTGGGAGGGAACTGGAGCATTCTGGGGGCAGGGAGTTACTAAGATGCCAAGCGGCAG